TAATTCTATCATTTTTGGCCTAAAGCAGTCTTATTGCTGTGCTCTATAGGTTAAATGAGGCTACTGCGGTTAAATGTTTCAGTTATTTAAAATGGTAGCAATAATATATCAATATGTTCAATTTACCTGGAACTGGGAGTGATGTAATCTTCCAGGTGTGAGTGTCCCAGTTCCCTACCTGTACGATTGGAGTACAAATAGATAACACCATAAAACCATCCAAGTCAGTCAGGAGTTGCTCACATAGCGAGCATTGAACAAGAATGTTATCACCTATTAATGAGCATGGGATCTTTTTTAAGGTGGATTATTTAGTCTCATCAAATTCAACGTCATCCCAACCAGACTTTTGAATGTTTTGGTTTCACTACGATTTTTAGAAAAGGATAAACAATTTAATGCAGTTGCAAAAAATTATTTTTAAGACAGTTTTTCTCAAGTACAAAACGAAGAAATAGAATGAAGAAATCTGTCCCAGATCATTTTTGTTTGGGCTTTGATATAACATTAAAATACCTGTTTTAGAGGCAGGAGGGAGGTGAACTCTGCTTCGGTTTCTTCCCTGCTGCACACAGATCCAGTCCCATCTACATCAAACCTGTTGTGTAACTTTAGAGAAGCTGCCCCAGGTCCCTTTATACACCTGAAGGAAGCTGCATTTTAAGCATGGACCACAGTGTCTGTGCTGAATGAGGCATTCTTCGGACGTCACAGTTCTGCAGGGGTGATCGGAGATGACAGACCGTTAGACTGAACTCTACACAACAGCGTCACTAAACGCCTTTATCAGTTAAATGAAACTGAAAGCTGCAGATGAACCAAAATATCATTAATAATGAAATGCCAGAGATGCTAAAGTGTCTGCTTTCTTTGTCTGCTGAGCCCAGAAAGAAGACAAACAGCGGCGCCTTCAGTTGCCACACCTAACTTGACATCAGATAAATAATAGATTGACTCTGTGCTCTAAAGTGTTATCATCCACATGCCTGACATCATATCATCAGGTTGGGCTTAAATGGTTGAGGTTGATCTTGATGTGCAGCACAGCAGCGCTCAGTTTGAACCAACGTGACTAGAGATTGTTCTTTAGAAAAGACAGAAGCAGGATTTTAGTTTTGATTTAGTAGATTTGGGTGGGTACAGTCATGAGTTGGTAAGTGAATTAGCAGCCCTGCCCTCTTCTCAAACATCTAGCTCTTTGCTTTCCCCTCCCAGGGGTTACAGGCAGCACGCTTAGGCCATTCCTGTGTCAAATTTCTATGCTTTTAGACCCCAAAACTGTCTTCCAGTGTCGCTGATGAAAGAAATATAGAGCAGCGTCGCTGAAACTTGATCAAAGCCTGGTGGCTTAACATCAGCGTTGGCCTTTATAGGTTTGTGATGCACGCTGGATTAATGGGTTTCCTGTTTTCTGTTTTCATCTGCCACACAAAGAAGATCATACTGAGGGGGTGGGGTGCTTGGGTTGCTGTAATAACATGTAGTGCAGTTCTATATATTATTATTATTGTTTAAAAAAAGCCAATTTTTGTAATTAATTACCTTAAAAATACTTTGATTTAAATTTAACCTTTCAGAAGGCCATTCATTTCCTTTATGACCAATAGTGAAAGTTAAAAATGTCCCATTTTGCTTAAATGGCACCAGTACCGTTGTTTTAGCATCCTATTTATAGACAGGACTTTGAATGAAGTACAGCTGATTCAGCGATCGTTTTTTTTTTATGCCTATACAATAATCTTACCAAGTAAAAAAAAAAAATCAGTAATTTTTTTTTTCTGTGTCACGATTAAAACATATCCCTCTAATCCCTGAAATGTTTTTTTTTTTTTTAAGATTAGAGAGGTCTTAAGACTGTTAAAAAGTGTATAAGGAAGAACATTCTTCTCAGATGCTGACATTTTGTTTTCTTCACTGCTAATCTCTCTAACCTTTCATTTTTTTGACCTTAAGGATTTTTTTTCATTTCAGTTCTGAACTAAACATTCTGATCCAGGCCGCTTAAATTGCAGTCCTTGTGGGCTGTTTTCCTGTAGCTTTTATCCGTATCTCTAATGTAACTTACCTTAATTAAATAATCGGGTCGTTAGCATGACTCGGCAGAACTTCGCTGCATGATGAGGAGGTCATTTGTTCATTTGATTCAGGCATGTTGGACGTTTTCATCAGTCAACTCATTTAAATTATGGACTAAGATTGTTGAAAATATCAATATTCCGGAAATACCACACCAACCTGATTTTGCATATTTGTGCCGTTATTAATATTAGATTTCTGGATTATTGACGTGTTAAAACAATAACACTTCAAATCACCATGAAACATTGTCAATATGTGTTTATATTTGTTTTATTTTGACATTTATTTAACTGCCATCCAGGATGCTGTTAAGAAATCATGTTCCATTTTGAGTTGATAAAGTTTTTTATACTGTTAAAAATATTTCTATGCCTTTTAGTTATGGCTTTTTTATCCTCTGGGTATTAAAATGTTGGTGATTATCGAGTATTGATAACAAGTTTGTTTTGTCACCAGCCTAATATAAACATGCTTATTGGCTAAAAGGGACTCTTCTCATATGGTGGTATGAAATATAAAGTTGTACGTTATCAGCAGGGCTGGGTCGATTTAATCAATTTTGAATCGATTCGTTTACATTTTTGCAAAATCGATGTCTAGGGAATGAGATCCATTAGTTTTATAGTGACGCGCGTGACGTTCACATTCAAATTAGCAGGAAAGATGCACTCTAGATTACTTTAAGCCAGACAGCTGCAAATAAGTTGACTGAAGATATTAACAAATGAGATTGCTGACCAGCAAACACCCTGTAGCTGTTACAGACAACGCTGCAAATATGTTTTTTTGCATTGAAGATAATACAGCTCATGCACGTCTGCTGTGTCATGTCTGCTTGCTCAAGTGAGGCTTAACTTTTTCACTTTTCACAAACAAGTTTGCACTTTTGAGACAGTTTTGTTAACATCTCATGTTTAAACTGTCTGATTTACAAGTTTGCACTTTGTGTTTAATATGACAGGAAAAAATAAAATTTTGAAACACAGTTTAACCACTTTCATTATTGTAAAAACAGATTGAATAGAAATTAATCGATTTAGAACTGTATGAATCAAAATCGAATCGATTCAGGACTATGGCGATATACCCAGCCCTAGTTATCAGCATATTTTACGATATGAACTACAGGAAACATGTTATTTAATAAACCGGATGGAAAATGGAGCCTCAAAGCACCCCACATATAATGTTTGTTGCAACATAGATGTATAACCACTAAATAGAACTAAGTAGCTGGGTCTGAAAAGTAGAGTTTTCTAGTTAGACCAGGAAAGTGGAAAACCAAACATGGAAAAATACTCAACGAAAAGATCTCGTTTTGTGGCCGACATTCGTTAAAAAAATATGTTTTTATATTTATGTTGTGGTGATTTTCTCTAAAAGAGGAGAAAACTGATCATTTTAAATGCTTACTGGATTTTTATTCTAAATGATTTTTTGTTTTCTTCTTTAAACTTGTAGGACAAAAACTGATTGTTTGAACAATGACTCCCTGTTGAGGTAAATTTTGGGATGTTTCACTTCTGTGAAAATCTTTAGGTCACCTGTTTCAGATCTGCTCCATGCTGGCACATTTATGAGATGTTTAAACTTTTGTTTCAGGGAAGAAAAAGATGATCTGTGAGAATACAGGAGCTCATAGTGCAGCAATCTAAAATAAAACTACATCTGCACCTTCCATTCCATCCAACAGGCATATTTAAAGGCTTTGTCTTTCTTCTTTTATTGCAAACCTCTTCCCTCGTCGTCAATCAGAGGCGGTGTGCAACTGCAGCAGCGGCAGTGAGGGGATCGACGATCCGGACAAATGCAACCAGAGCACCGGTCAGTGTTCGTGCCTGACGGGCTACGCCGGCCTGCAGTGTGACGAGTGTGAGGAGGAGTACTTCACCAACGGCACCAGTGGCTGTCTGCCCTGCTCCTGTGACTCTTTTGGCGCAGTACACCTCAACTGCGACAGGTCAGGGTCCTTTTCTTCCATTTGCATTTGACCTTTGTGAGGACTGTTTTTTGTTGAGACCCCACCAGTGGCTGTGCTGCAGTAGACCACAAGCTAATTCCAGACTGAACTAACAAAGACCTAAAACAATGGTTCGACAGCCGTACTCCTATTCTTTCTAAACATTGACTCACACAATGAAACAGTTGGATTTATTTTCTGTCTGATTTCCTCTCTTCTTGTCAATAAGCTGTTATCGTCTGTCCCAGAGCTTCCATAATTTTGGGTGTGTAACCTTGTGTTTCTGGAAGGAAAGGAAAAGCTGTGAGAGCTCTGCAGCCCCGAATGCAGCACTCTCACCCAAAATTAACATGTGCACCACGCTGTTTTGTTCCCATCAGGGCTTATTGAGCCGCAGCCTATAAATCCACCACCACCGCCACCACCGTGCAATTTACTAGGCAACTGAATGCTAATATAACTGTTTATTATTCAACCAAACTGTTTGCGTTGTGCAGGTGGTTTGGGGGGTTTTTGGGACCACTCTGACAAAGGTTTCCATAAGAAAGAGATAACCTTGACCTTGATTTTATTTTTTTACGTTTGTGACTTGCAAACGTTTCCTCTTTAAACAGCTGTATCCATTTAAAATATTGATCTATTTTGTCCATGAATCATAACAGCCTTGGTTAATTCCCTTTACTTTAGCTCCTATTTAAAGAGAGAGTTCAGACTTTTTATGTGGGTTTTCTAACAGCACATACTCATAACTCTTTGCATTTGAATTTAGAGAAAACACTGATTCGTTTTTTAACTATCTGGCTCTGAAAAGTTTATATTACAGTTATTTATGCAGACAAGGGTAGGTAGCTTTTTGACCTTCCATGAGAAGGAAACACATGCTGGGAAATGGATTTTAAGCATATTTATTTTAGAGTAATTATCTCAGACTTTCATCTTATAAATAAAAGGGTGTAAAGCTTTTATGCTAAAGTTTGTTAAAGCTATGCTCACAAAAATCAGATGTATAAAACCTTATTCATGCATGTTTTTGTTCAACTTTGCTTCATGTATCCCAGTTTGTAAGAAATTTGGTGCAGCTGCAGGTTCCTTCTGCATCACCTGCACCACCAATGAATAATTATGCAAAGTAATTGATTATTAAAATAATCGTCAACTAACTTAGTAATTGATTAATCGTTAAAAACACAACATAAAAATTTTGCATTTCAGATTAAAAAAGTTTTTCAGATTAAAAGAAATGTTTTTGTCTGTCATTATGCTCGATCAAGAACTCCACAAGTGGAAAAGTATTAGTTTCACCTGGTTTGATTTCACAAAAAGTCTTCTTTAAGGAACCTTATGTTTCTGATTATTAATCGATTCTTCCAAAAAATAATAAATTTCCAAAAAACTCGTTAGCTGCATCCCAAGAAATATTAATATCACAAATCCCTGCGAAGAACACAATATTTACTTGTAGCTGTATTCTAAGTATGTTGGTTTGCACTTTGTCAGTATTTCATGCAGACGGTTGGATGGAGCAAACATGTAACTAGACTGATATCCCAAAGATACTTTCGCTCAAAGAGCAAAAATGGAAAAATGACCAAGAAAAATGTGGATTTATCACCAGATGTATCATCATCTCACTTTCAACAGGATGTAAAAATAGAAAATTTATATATTTTTGTAAGGCTGTTTACCTGCAAAATGCAGCAAGACTAGAATGTTAACAGTAACCAATGAATAACTATGCATAGTAGTATAAATACCTGGACATTCTCACCAAGTCGAAACAACCGTGGCAACAAGCCATAAGTAAGTTATAAAAAAAATAGAAAAAGGTCTAATAGTTTTTCCAAAGCAATTTTAAAACAATATTAAACTTAGCGACATGTTATCATATAGCAGACTGGACATACTGAGTTATTTAAGTTATTTATTGGAAGATGAAGTGGAAACTATGGAGGCAGCAACAGGGAAATGGTGTCAAAGGAACCTGGTTCAGCTGCAGTCTATAGTAGATGTTTTCATCCTGTCAGTCTGCTCCCTCTGAAATACTCTGGTTGTTAAGAACCCCAGCATAGCGAGAAGCTAAACTGGCCGTGGCAACAAGCGTTTCCTCCTAGTTTCACTCTGTAACCCTGAGGTCAGCCCCCTGCAGAGCTCCAAAATAATTCCTCTGAGCTAATCCGGCTAATGATCATGTAGGGCAGTACGATCTCTGACGACACACTCCCTCTGACTTCCCACAGTGCGAAAGCTGTCATCATTTCACAATTAGGCACAAATTTACACAGCAATCTACGGACATTTGTGATTGTCTGCAGCTAATCAACATAAAAAATAATCACACCACACAAATCAGACGTTCATCTTAACAAAAACAGATCCAGGTGATAGTGTATCCTAAAAATAACTATGTTGAGTGATTATTTTTGCATGATATAATTGAATCATAAATCATTAAATCAATGATAATATGGATGTATTATAGCACCTTTATTTACTGTGAGTTTAATTTGACCTAAATCATAAAGTTAAATACATTTCTGAAGCCTGGCTATTAGTTTATTAGGAAACCTGTCTGCCTAATGTGTTGATGTGAAGTTTCCCCCCATCAGGATGCTGTTATTATTACTCATGATTGTTCGCAACTCAAACAATTGAAGGAACACTTTAATATCAGATCTCGATTGGTGGGGGGGAGCCATGTTGGATATCTCCATTGATTTGAAATTGGTAATTTTTTCTGCAAAAAAAAGATGCCAAAATTGAACGACTAAACCATGGAGAGCTTATTTCAAAAACATAAAAAAAACAAACCACTGGACTTTGTTTTCCAAGTTAGAAGACTTTTCCTTCCCATCCAGGAAGCTTTTTCAATTCAAAACGTCAGGGTTAGCAGTGAGTTCCAAGCTTTATAGAGTAGCCTAACTAAGCCTTGTTTCTAATTCTTAATTCTTTCCTTGTTGTCAATTCAGACATTCTCAACTCAACTCAACTTTATTTATAAAGCGCTTTCAGTCAGCCAAAGCTCAAATCAAAGCGCTGTACAGGTCATTTGAGCAGATTATAAAACACAATTATCACCAAAACACAGGACAAACTCAAAGATTAAAAAAAAACCAGTAAGAGCAAAAAAAAGTCGAAGTCTCACTCAAAGGCCTGAGAGAAAAAGTGGGTCTTTAAAAGGGTTTTAAAAGAGCTGAGTGTAGGGGCCTGTCTGATAGAAAGGGGGAGGGCATTCCACAGTTTGGGAGCTGCCACAGAGAATGCTCAGAGAATGCTCAGAGAATGCAGACATATTGAATTGGAAGGTGAAAAGTCTTCAAACTTTGAAAACAAAGTCCAGTGGATTGTTTTTTTTTTTACTTTTTTGGAATGTCTATGACCTGGATGACTGATAATCTTCACCAGCACATGGAGAGCTTCATTCATTGGGGAAGAGAAACTGAAAAACTGAAGCGCTAGGCTGGTCTAATGCGCTGAAACATCATTACTGCAGCTCAATAGATACTCAGCAGCTTGTGGGCCCTGAAAAAGATGATATGCATCCAGGGTAACGTCAGGATGCTACTTATGAAAGGATGGATTCTGCCCTGGGGGGGATCCCCTACTAGGGTTGTCACGATACTAAACTTTTCAACTCTATACCGATTCTAAGTAAAATATCCGATACTCGATACCCTTTTCGATACCACAAGAATGGAGAATTCAACAGAAATATTTTCATTACTAAAAAAATACAAGAAATAAATAAAAAAACAATAAGAATAATATTTTGAGGTTGTATGCTGTGCACAATATTAAGCAAGCTTGATAAGAAAAACTTAAAAAATTTAAATTAAGTGTTCCTTCCTTGGCTATGTTTTGCAGACATAAAAATGACACTAGCCAAACCGGTTAAAAAACAAAAATAATTCTCAGCAGCTGCACCTGTTACAAAAAAAGTCTGAAACTGAAAAATGCACAGAATTATTCAATCACAGAGTGTTCAGAAAGTGCATTTTCCACTATTCTGCACTTTAGATGGCTGTATCGATACTTTTGAAAATGAGTATTGTATCCGGATACAACGTTTCAGTATCGATACTTTTGAAAATGAGTATTGTATCCGGATACAACGTTTCAGTATCGATACTTTTGACAACCCTATCCCCTACCAGATTCTGACCGGTGCATCACTGAGCTTCTGGAAAGTCTGCTCCAGTGAGCATGCTGGTCATTGGATGACAATGCTGGTCATTGGGGCATGGAGGCAAGTCAGTGATATCAATTCCTTCATTTTCCAGGTACTGTCAGAAATTCTGGCCAATGAAGCACGAGTATTTTTCACCACGAGACCCGAGGATTTACTGCACCAGTAAAAGGGTTTAAAAATTAGATTTTATCTACCGGCAGATTAGAGTGCCATTATTTATTCTATACAGTTCCTCCCTACGTGGATTCGCCTCCCCAGACTTAACACAGCCACCACCACACGGATAATGCTAAACAATACAGCAGCATTAGGAGACATTTTACCAATCACAGCAGAACCCAGAAGGACTCTGAAACGCAGCGTTAAAGAAGTGAAAGGCAGCGGCATCAACTAATGAGAGATTACTTACTGGTGGCGAGACGCACTGCGTTTGGTGAACGCTTGCTTGATATGAAGTGAAAATCCTTGGTCAGTAATGAGTTTCATCACTGGGGTGAGGGAAAGAGGTTCAGAGGTTCATCTTTCATTGCAAATTTTAAAGCCTCTGAATTAATTCCACTAACAACCTCACTGTTAATGTTTGACCTTCAAAAACTGGTACAGTTTATCTGTGATGGTTTAACATGGAGAGCTGATCCAATCAGGGCCTTAATGGGGCCCTTAGATAAATTCAGCATTAGTGGCCTCTATTTCTACCAGTTATATCTATTGCTAAAATCAATACACATTCCCTCACCTACTATTAACACATCGCAGCTCTGGCAGAGCATTTTACAGTCTCTATTTGTTTGCATCATCTAGTGTTTCTAAAACT